GCAATTTCCGGTTGCGTGCCGACTTCGGCGTCCTAAAGAAAAGCACTATACTCGCGTGGCAGACACACAAAATATTTAAATACATGATCATGATCACATACACACACACATGTGCCTGTCTGATCATGACTGTATACAGTATACATGCCAAGTCGCCGGTTCGGCTGTGTTCCCCGCGTTTCTTGCTTGTCCCTTAGCTTTGGCTGCTCCTTTGCTCTTGGCTTTGGCTTTGGTGCTTGCTTTGGCCTTTGCTTTTGTTTTGGCTGCCGGTTTCGCTTCGATTGAGCCTTCCGCCTTCTCCTGAAGCACAGTGTGCTCCAACTCTTCATCCTCTTCATCAAGATCGGCATCCGGATCTGGATCCTTGCTCGCCTTGCTCGCCCTGCCCCGGCCCCGACCACGGCCNNCCCGACTGCCCCCACCTCGGCCTCGCTTAGGCACAGGCTCGTCGGCCGGATCCAGCTTGATTTCTGCAGCCTTCCGAATCTTGCTTTGGGCCTGACCGTCGGCAACAGAATAAACCTCGCACACCCCAGTCAAATCAACCGGATGGCCTGCAGAAGCCCCTCCGGAGCTTCCTTCTCGATCTGGTTTGCAAGCTCTTCAGCAGCCTTTGCCAAGGAGGCAGGAACTGGCTTGGACGGGACCTTCAGGCCGCGATGCTCCTGAGCAAAAGACACATCGTGGCAAGGACCAAGCGAGAATGCATTTGGATGTTGCAATTAGACTTCAACCGGTGGCCTTCATGGCATCATGGCCCTTAGTCTCCTGATCTGCTTTCTCCACCTCAACCTCCATGGTTGTCCCCTTCTCATCCTGATGTGGCTTTGCATCCTCTTCCAAATCCTGGCTCCCACCCTGAAGTGGCTTTGCATCCTCTTCCAAATCCTGGCTCCCATCCTGAAGTGGCTCTGCATCGTCCTCCAAATCGTTTCTCCTAGCCCTCTCCTTGTGCGGGGTGCACTCAGCCCGAAAGATTTCGGGATCGGCTACGGGGTCGTCTTCATCCGGGCCTATCTCTTCTTCCTCGCCTTCCATAAACTCCTCCTCCCCCAGGGCCTCCTGCACCTCCTTCTCGCGAGTGCCCAGCCCATCCGTGACGGTGTTCTGCCGGGAGGGGTCGTGGGACTTTGCCTCGTCCTGCCATCATCGATTTTTTTTGCAATCACTGGCAAAGAGCCTGCTGGCAGTTTAAGTAGAATTTGTCCCCTACACAGATCTAAGGTCCGTCGTCGCCTTCTTCTTCTCATCGCGAAGAAAGCTCACCATGTATTTCAGCTTGGCCATGTTGTCGTGCCCGCTCCTATCACAGAGTCGGCTTTGCTATTGGTATGCAAATGGCTAGTCCTGCTCATCATGCTGTGTATGTGTGCCTGCCTGTAGCCCTCGTTGCGACGGGAGCGATCCAGTATATAGCTTATCAGCGATCGTTGCAAGTCGCCCTCCGTGCGGGACCAGCCCTGCCAAGAAAGCAAATTCTCACGATTTGTCTGTGCTTGTGACAGTGTCTGCTATGCAGCTTCAAGCTTCAGGCCTCAACCTTGTTCTTTGCAGCCTTTGACCCAAGGAGCTGGAAATCATAAGCCGTCACTTCAAGAGCCATCTGTGCTTCCAGGCTCGTCGGGATTTTCAAACCAAAGGTAGCCAGCCACTTGGCTACGAATCTATAGTTCCACATATCCTCAACCTGGCTCGACTGAAGAACGGACCGACTATTGCAATGTCTTGACTGGTGACCAATATGCTGCCAAATGGCCTCCGTCACTGAGANNTTCACGAATGTGAAGTTGATGGGAACCTGCCATAAGCTGCCATCAAAGCTATAATTGACTGCCCAATCTGTCCAAACAAGCAAGACTCACCACACCCTGCTGCATTGCACGGTCGATCCTCTCTTTTGAAAGCGTAGACCTGCAAAGAAGCTCCTCCATCCGGGTCTTCTTCCAGTCATTCTCCACCAGCAAAGTGCGGTAGAAGTCCTGCATGCACACATGGATGTCCATGCTATATACATGTATGTACGTACACGTGCATGTGTGTATTACCTGGATTATAGGGCTTAGGGTTTAGGGTTTAGGGTGGTGTGTTTCAACACAGCAGGGGGCCTTCAAGATTTGCGTTCGCACAGGATCTGGCTTCACCCGGCCCATGGCTGCACTGCTGTCACTGCTGTCCGTGGACGAAAAAATGCCGAATGCTTTGTGAGGCTTCTTCTGGAAATTAGGCACCAGAATTCCTAGACCCCAGAGCTGCCTTCGAACATAGATCTAGAGCCTGGGAGCATTGTTGAAAGCGAGCTCGAGCATACCAACAATGCAAAATCCAGCAAGCAACTTGTAACTGACGGGGTTGCCACCATCGCATTCTGCAGGATCTAAGTCACCCAAAGTACCTGCAGAGGGGAGTTTCGAAGAAAAACCAACGAGATTCATTTCGCTGGCGGGGCACTCGACGATAATGCTTTCTGCATACCATTGCAAGCGAATGGAAATCCAGTTATGTGTGGTGTTTTGCTTGATACCTATGGCAATTGCAAGATGTTTGTGCTATCCATGATCGGCTCTCTTCGGCCTCCTTGAACCCTCGCAGCGGCCTTCACCGCTGCACATGAAAAACTTCTCTGAAATTCCCGGCAATCTATGGTTTTTACTGAGCATAAGACGGTGGCTCTAAGCCCCCGCGGAAAGTATGGTGGTGGAAGGACAGGGTTAATATTTGGGAGAGTATATGATTATTGGGTACTTGGACCCTGAACTGTGTTCTAGCTAGTTGTAAGTATAGTTACCTTATTTACAAGCCTGCTTACTCAGTCCCAGGAACCTTAGTACCCACACCCTTAGCCCTAAACGGAATCCCAGAGCTCGGAAACCGGGAGATATGTTTCTGGATTTGCGTGCCTCGTGCATTAAGCACTTGCTGTTATGTACAGGTACCAAGACACGCCACTCAACGGATTTATGAGGCCGTCTATGCCCCAGGATATGAAGACTACACGTGCAGGTACGGGCTTCTTGTGTGGGTGTGGGTTTGCGGACTTCGTGCACACGACGTCACACTCTTGGTGCTTAGGTAATTTAGGGTTTGGGCCCGGGACTTGTATAGACCCTGTCGTCTTTGGGCTGCGGGGCGCGAGATTGAGACACTCGCAGGCACCTTTTCCTCTCGGCAGCGCGGTGCAAACAAGACCCCTCGTGATCCCCCCTACACCCTAAAACCGCCCAGCCCTCAGCCACAGGAACCAAATGCCCTAAACCACTGAAGCACAAAGCCGAAAGCATCCCGAACTGCAACAAAAACATACTTTAAAGCCACAAATGCCCGTCAAACCCTGTAATTCACCAAATAACACCTTGCAAAGCCCATGGTAAACCTTGGAGAGACAGGGAATCTTAGGGTTGCTGGGTTAGCTGCTGACGGACGGAGCTGCTGTCACCACCCAGAGACGGCGAGCCCCAAGAGAGCACGGAGCCATCGCCCTGTATGCCCGCAAAGGCGTAGCGGGACGCCTGTACTTGCCAGATGTTCTCCAGGATACCTCCAGGTTCCCTCTTTAGGGCTTCGGGGTTTAGGATTTGGGTTTATAGGTCCTATACTTCTAAGAAGGGACATACTGTTTAGAGTCTGCTCTCTACGATACCTTCTGCGAAAGGGTTTGGGGTAACGGGGCTTCGGGATGTTTATAAGGATTTTCTGGCATTTGGGGTTCTGGCTTAGGGCTTCGCTTTAGTGTCTAAGAGATCCCGTGTCTCTAAGTGACCCTAAACCCTTAGCCAAACTTAGCCAAACCATACAAAGTATCGGCTTAGAGTTTACGGGCTTAGGCTTATTCAATCAAACCTCCAAAGCCCTAAACCCTAAACCCTTAGCCCAAAACCCTAAACCCTTAATAAAACCCTAAACCGACGAGGGCTTTAGGGTTTCTGCGCTTTCCCCCACGGGACCTTCTGGGATGTTTCCCCAGGTCACCGCCCGATCCTCCGAGGTGATGGCCGTGAACGCGTAAGCCGAGGCCTAGGATCACCGATCGCTTTGAAGCTTCAAAGGCTCCTTTAAAGGGGTTCCCTTAAAGGTACCTTAAAGGGATTCCTATCAGGGTACCAAAGAAAAATAGGGTTTGGGGTAGGGCTTAGGGCTCATGGGTTTTAGTGTTGAACCCAAATTGAAAGATGCCCTCAACACCCCCTGAGCCCGAAGCCCAAAACTCCAACCCTAGACTGGGTCCTGAAAGCTTTATAAAAATCTTCAAGCCTGTAACCTCTAAGCTGTAGTACTATAAGTGAACCGTAGACTGTAGAGAACCACAACAACAGGATTCCCTTAAATATCACATGGTTCAGTCTAAGCGAAGCCCGACACAGAAAGTAGCAACAAAGATCATCAGCCCTAAACCATAAAGCCTTAAACCCCTAAACCCCAAAGGTACTACTTGGAGACCCGAAGACTGAGATGTGCTGCACATTCTTCAGTGACTTGCGAACCTCAGCTGCTGAGTTCCCAAGCACCGAAACAATGCAGATGTTCCGTTTTACAAGTTGTTTGGCAGGGTCTAGGGTATGTAGTAGGGTTTAGGGTAAAGTTTAGGGTTTAGGGCATAGTGTCTAGGGTTTGTAAGGGATGATCTCATCCCAACAAATGTAAAGTGCACTGACTCGGTTATTAAGGAGCAGATCGACTGTTTCCGCCGCCGTGTTGGTCACCCCACGTCACGACTGATCCTGGGTCTCGAGATCAATGGAGTTTAGGGCTTAGGGTTTCGAGCTCCAGCCCTCAAAGCTATTCAGAGTCAGGGATCCATATTGAACGAATTTCGAAAGCTATTCTTTGAATGCATCCTCAAAAAACATCCGCTATCGTATTGCAGTAGCCCATCAAGGAACCTTTAGTGGCAGACACGATGTTCGTATGCCAAATCGGTTCCTAGGATCCGTCTTCAAGGATCGCCGCGAAGGCTCCGGTGTTTGCCTGCACCTGCGAGCTTCCGTAAGCACGGGGTTGTAGAGGTGTTGGGGCTTTTGGGTTTAGGGGTTTAGGGGTTTCGGGTTTAGAGTTTAAGGTGTAAGTACCGGTTTTTGGAGGTGTTAGGGCTTTTAGGTTTAGGGGTTTAGGGTCTAGAGTTTAGGGTGTAAGTACGGGTTTTTTGAGGTGTTAGGGCTGTTTGGGTTTGGGGGGTTAGGGTGTCGGGATCTACCTGAACCCGGAAAGCCCTATCTATCTCGGATCCCTTATCATAAACTTCCCCAAATTGTGTCCTGTCAAAAATAACTTTGGAGGAGTGAGTGGTAGAGTCCAGGGTCTAGGGTTTGGGGTCTGCGGTTTTCGAGCCTCATATTTATAGGTTTGGGGATGCTTAGGGTTTAGAGTTTAGGTTTAGACACTCGCACTCACACGAGGAACACCGAATAGTAAGAACGCCGCCCCCACCTTTAGTACATTCCTCAACTGGTGCTGCACCGCGCGGCTGTCACCACCGAAGTCGGACCTTCAGGCAGTAACCAGACTAATTACACAGGTATAAGGGTTCAGGGTTTGGGTCAAAGTAACTTGCACAATTAGTCTTTAAAAGGCTCTGTACAGGGTTGCTTCACAGGTTAATCTAAGGGTTTAGTATAGAGGTGGCATTCTTCTACTGTCATTATATAGGGGAATTCCTAAATTCCTAAACCCCAACTACCGACCTCCAAGTGACCACAGATCTGTCGCGGAGGATAGCAGCAAAGCCGAACTGTGAGGCCTGGATCTCATGTACATCACGCAGCTGATCCTGGACAGGAGTACTGTCACCACCTTCTAGAGGGCATCCCCACGTCACAACCGAGCCATCCTGCCGGATCGCGGCAAAAGCCGAAGCTGTTGCTTGCACTTCAGTCACATCATGCAGTAGATGCTGAATTGCGCTGCTGTTCCCGCCGAATTCAGGACAGCCCCAGGTCACAACAGATCCATCCGTGCGAATGGCAGCAAATGCTTGCGAGGTGGCCTGGACCTTCTGCACGCAGTTTAACTGCTCACTGACGGCGTTGCTGTTGCCCCCTCCCCACTGGTTGCCCCAGGTTACTACCCTTCCATCTCCGGTTATAGCAGCAAAAGCGAAGCGAGTGGCCTGGATTTGCTGAACATTGCACAGAAGGTCGCGGACGGCGCTGCTGTCACCACCACTTTCTGCCGCGCCCCAGGTCGCAACAGATCCGTCACCCAGGATGGCAGCGAATGCTCGCTCAGAGGACTGCACCTTCGCAACCTGGGTCTGTTCAGGAGAAGAACCAACCATGACAGGAACACGCTGCCTGTTTTATGGTGATTTAGCTTCAGTTCGTGAAGTCCGCTAACAAGAGTCCGGCAACGTTTCTCAGGCCTTTCGGAACTATGCATCCTTCTTCCTCCGACACACCGCCCCATGCAACGAGAGATCCATCTGCAAGGATAGCTGCAAAGCCGGTCTCAGATGCCTTTAGCTGCTGCACGTTCACTAGCCGGTTCTGCATGTGTCCGCTGTCTCCCCCAGATGCTGGATCTCCCCAGGTCACGACAGATCCGTCGCTGAGGACCGCTGCGAACGCCGAAGCTGAAGCTGCTACAGAAACTGGCTGCTTCGTCAGGGTCAAGATATCGCCGTCTTTTAGGCCTGCCTCGGTAACCGTCGTGGCGCCACTCAAGGCCTCCCCTGCAGACGTCATCAGTTTGCCATTGAACTGGAAGGCGTCTTGAGATTGCTTCCTCACGAGCTCGAGGGGAGTGTCCGCGTCCAGATATAGTTTCTTCCGCTTCCCACTTAACAGTACCACTTCCACAGAGATCGACATGCGTTTCAGAGACCATGCCAAATGCAAAAAGCTTGTGCAAGTCAACAAGTCGGAACATGATACTCAATTTGCTCCTGTCGTGGCTGGCTGGGCTGCACTTGTTCTGCATGCACCCCTGAAACAGACTGTTGAACGTGCCATATCTTCTGTACACAGCTACTGAGCCTGATCGTTGCCGGACGGGAAGTGGCCACCACCAAAACAATCATTTACCGTTCTATATGCTTTGGCTCGAAACTAGGTTCAGGGTTCCGAACGAGATGGGAAATTGCATTTCGGCAGTCTGTGAATGAGCAATGGAGGAGGGATAGAATGCAAGGCTGTTTAGTCATGTTTTACACTTCATTCGCAGCTTCACAAATGCACTGCTTGCCCAGTTGATGCAGCAATGCCCCCAGAAAACTCAAAACCGGCAGTCCTGCACCGCTTGGTGACGAATTGAGGGTGCGCCGTCATAGATCGGTGAAACCACTTTTGTCGGGTCTTCACAATGGTGCACGCGCACGCTAAGGGGACTCCACCCAAAGCAATTGATGTGGTGCCCCAAAACAGCAATCAAAAAATTCAAGAGCCGTGGAAACCTAGGCTGGCTGTCAGCCCGAGACAAGACAGAAGGGGCGGCTTACCCACAGGCCCCTAAGTAGTTCCTTTTTATGGTTTATATTTAAAGTCCTATAACTTGGCTGACTTCTGGAACCCTCCAAAAAGTTAAACTTTTAGCCTCCTTATTATCGTTCACATAGAAACCCCAAAAGTTAAAGTCCTAAGAGCCAACCAGAGGAACGCCAAGATAAGGTAATCCCAAAAAGGAACGACCTAGGGGCCTATGGGTAGAGCCCATAACCACTACATGATACGGACGAAAGTCTGATCTATTCGCGGCTTCATAGAACCGAGGCCCCCCACCATAGAACCCTAACAGAAAGGATCCACCAGGTACTCCTCCGGCACATTCGTGCGTAGTAGTTCCTTTTGGGATTACCTTATTATAAGATTCAAACTATGAAACATAAAAAAGAACTACTTAGGAGCCTATGGGTACTTCGTGCGCACTCCGCTGCTCCACAACAGATCTCAAGACAAGGAAGGTCGAGTCGGTACAAAACTTTCGTCCTCCGGTTTAGGGTTTAGGGTTTAGGCAGTACCTAATCTGGACTATCTGCATTCTTAGGGTATAGTGCTAGCAGAGAGCTGGGGCTCTCTTCTGCTGCATTTGGCAATTTGGTGGATCCGAAAAACGGAGAGAAGAAACCCTAAACCTTAAAACCCTTTTTTGAGCAGGGACTGCAATGCACTAAGCCCTGATTCATCCCTTCACCCTAAAACCCTAAAATACACCCGAAACCCTCATCAAACCCTACAGACGCGCAGAAGCCGAGGCCGCAGCCACATTGAGAACCGCGAAGCCCAAGACCTGGCCGACTCTGACCGTGAGGTTTTGGAGGTTTAGGGCCTAGGGTTTTGGTTAACTTAAGGTTTAAGGTTATTTTTCCTCCTACATAGCTATGTATACGGTTTAAGGTTTAGGGCGTAGGGTTTTGGTTGTAATTTAAGGTTTAAGGTTTAGGGCTTGGTTTGGGGTTTAGGGATTAGGTTTAGGGCCCATGTTCCTGTAAGGTAGCTGTGGTACATTGCATACATTGACCCTAAACCTGCTTAGGCCGAAGTGTATGTAACCCAAACCCTAAACCCTAAACCCTAGACGGAGGTATGTGGACCCTTCGGGTGAAGCCGGCCGCACAAACTCTGTCGGACACTGCCGTCCTAGAAACTCCAGACCCGATTTCTGGCAGAATAGTAGCAAGTAGCAGTGTGAGGCTTTAAGGTTTAGGGGGTAACTTAAATGAAGAGTGTAGGTAGTCATAGCCATAATGGTATCATAAAGTTCCCAAAGGCTTTTGCAGAGTGTCAGTCAGGCCCGCAGAAATATCAGGGAATATACGGGCGACAACTTTAAGGGGAGATCGTAAATCTGCAGAAATCTGACCTTGCCTGTAATTTGTCTGGGACACAGGCAACTCTACGTGGTCGAAGTTGGGTTTAGAAGGTGCTCCGTTCGTTGAAGGTCGCGAGTAAATTTCAATGGTGAGTGTAGGCCCCTTACTTGGAGGATCATGCGACTTTGAAAGGAAGGTCATACCTACCTTGCTCTGGGGTTACAAGTCATGACGCGCATGGTTACCTTACTGATAATAACCCTAGTTACCAAGTCTCATGATCCTTCGTAACCCGGGCGCCTGAATGAGGCTTTTCACCGAATCGGGACCCCTCTTCTAACTTATAGTACAACCCTTGTTGCAATAGAGGGTCCTAAGCAGGATCTCGGCGCATTTGGGCTTCGCCCAGAGTCGAAAAAGGGAGTTCGAGACGGTACCTTCTTGTCCGATTCTCACGCTGATCCGCCTGAGGGTCCAAGTAGTCCTTATTCATGGTTTTTGGTACCCATAAAGGCCCTAAAGTCCTTAAATAATGAATACTTGGACCCTTAGGGTGCTAAACCAATCCGAGCCGAAATTCTGTGGCCTGGTTTCGGGTTCAGGCCGTGATGCTTGCTTGGTGAGGAAGCCACACCCTGAAACTAATAGAAAAGAATCTCCGAAAACAGAAGACCATTCCACTTGTATTCTGGACTGGCGCGCTCCGCGAGTGTGCAGTGTGAGCACAAGCTGGGGCTCGGACACACCGGTAGAGCAGGAAGAACACAGAGAACCACTCGCCTAGTAGCATGGTTATTAATACAGGGTAGGGTCCGGAAAAAGGTTGGTTCTCGGCGGTGTAGGGGGAGAGAACTGCAGGGCTTTGAAGCATTTCTGCCTATGGTTTTCGTAGGACTGCACACCGATGAGCGTTTTGCTGGGATTGGGGCCCGGGGTCTATCATTCTAAACTCCTATAAGAGGCCTTCTTGAGTCCATGAATCTGGTCCAGCACTACAGCAACAGAAGCAAGCGTTGTTTCGAACCTCGGGATATGCACCGCTCTACAGGCGCAAACATATATTGAGTGAGCTACGGAAGGACGGTCGGGATGCGAGTCCACTGTTTCCACCCTACTTGCGCAAGCCAAAAATTTAAACCGCTTGCACCCTTTTTTTGAACAAGGACTACAATGCACTAAGCCCTAAAGCGCTTGCACCCTAAACCCCAGACCCACGCTTCGTTGGCCCTTTCATTGGCCCGGGATATGACGGTATGACAGCTATGAAACAGACGTCCGCAACATAAGCTTGAAGTCCTTTCCTTGCCTGAGGGTGCTCGAAGGCTCGACATATCCAACGTTGCGAAGCTGCGATGCGACGAACGAAACGATCTTACGGGGTCTGATACGGAGGAAAGCAGGCCAAAACTTTCTGTCCTTGACTGCTGGTATCTTGCTAAGCAGCATTGGGAACCGACCCCTTGGGCACAACGCAGCAAATGCCAGCTGAGGCACTCATGTTCTCCAAAAGAACTCGTGCAGGTGGGGCCCAATTTGCGAAGAGAATCTCAAACCTGAGCTGATTAATGATGATGAAACTTTCTTGAATGTAGACCTGTTTCGGGCAACACTCACGCTCCGCAGAACGTAACCAAAGCCAGCAGGCTGCTAGCAAACGCAGTCCTCAGGAAGAGGAGCAACCCTAAGCATCTAAGAAACCCAGAGTCTCAAGAGTAGCGATCTCGAAGGATCAAGGCTCTAACCTGCACGTGCCATTCAAGAATGGCACCGTCACTTGGAGAACCCATTGGCCAGCCAAAGCGAGACTGCAGCACAGCATGAGGACTCACACCTGGGCGGCCTTCAATCCCGCTACAGTGCCACAACATGTGATCCAAAGTAGCAGGACCAGCATGGCATTTTTGACATAACCCTGAGTCATTGCCATCCCAGCGCATTCTCGCGGCAGGGCTAAGAGTCGCACCACTCATAACTTGAAAGCGCTGAAAGGTAGTGCAAAAACGCCTATGATGCTTTCCTGAATGTTGAGCTGTACTGGGCAACACTCAGGCTCCACAGAACGCAACCTTCAAAGCACAGTCCTCTGGCAGAGGAGCAACCCTAAGCAACTAAGTAAACCTGAGGGCTAAGAGTAGCGATCCCGGAGGATCAAGGCTCTACCCATAGGCCCCTAAGTAGTTCCTTTTTGGGATTACCTTACAGGATTCTAAATAGAAACCATAAAATGGAACTACTTAGGGGCCTATGGGTAACCTGCATGTGCCATTCAAGACTGGCGGCGTCACTAGGAATACCCATTGGCCAGCCAAAACGGGACTGCAGGCACAGCAGCACAGCGAGAGGGCCCACGCTTGGGCATCCTTCAATCCCGGTACAGTGCCACAACATGTGATCCATGGTCGAAGGACCGACACGGCATTGGCGAAATATCCCTGGGTCAAGGCCATCCCAGCGATTTCGTGCAGCCGGGCTGAGAGTAGCCAGAACCAGGGACCGCACAAAGTCCAACCCAAGTGGGACAAAGCAGCTTGGAGCACGCGAAGCCAACGTCTTCGCGGCCAGCAACAAGGTTCCCCTTCTCTCTTCCACGCTTGTTGTAGTGCTGCGGAAAAGCTGGACGAAAGAACCCTAAACCCAAAGTCAAGGTAGCACAGCCTGAAGACATTTATGAGATCAGATCAACTGCTGGTGAATCTTCAGCGCGGAAGCTGCAGGAGCATGCCATCGAGGAATAGCAGATGGATATCATGATGAGGATGACGATGGCGATAGTGATGATGACGACGATGATGATGGTGATGACGGTGGTGATGATGTTGAAGATGATGATGCTGATGATGATGGTGGCGGTCGTGGTGGGTGATGGCGAAGATGATGAACATGACAATGTTGCCGTTGCTGGTGGCTCTGAGGTTGCTAATGCTGAAGATGACCCATGGACACCCACACTTGGATGATGAGATGGGAAACCTAACGCCATCTTGAAGGGGTGGGTCAATCAAACTCTATCACTTCTCCAGGCCACAACCTTTTAAGGACCAGCACGGTCCATCCCACACAGAA